TGATGTGGAGCTGAAAATGCATGCACAAGTGCATGAACATGAATAGCCTTGGATGAAACGTGCGCCCTCCGTTAATTGACCGCAGCGCTAGCGCCTCTAGCGGCGTAAAGATGATTCATGCTTGTTGCGCTAAAACTGCTATTATTTGATCAAACTTGAGCTTTTTTTTTTCATCAGTCAGAGCTAGGTTCAATTTTATTTAACAGGTCGACGCATATTAGTGGGCCATTAGTGTTTCTTCAAATGGCTCCTTAAAATATACAAGAAGCAAACAGTAATCTTCGACCGTCGTCTGCACCTCACCAGAATGACACAAGACGTCACGATGGGTGCTGACCGAGTGCGACCCGTTGTCTGGCATACTTACCTGGTGTCGGGGTGACCGTGGTCAAGATGGCGGTGCCCCCAGGGAGAGGCGCGGGCATTGCACTGCGCTCGTGCTGACCCCTGCCACTACCCCAAACTGGGGCAGATGGGGCATGCAATTTTTGGTAGTGGGGGACTGCGTTCGCGCTCTCCCCCTATTTTACAATCCAATGGAAGATCTATACACCCGCTGAAACACTTGCGCGGCGGAGGAGAGTGCAAGCTATTTATTGAGATCCGGGTTCTTCGATATGGCTTCCGATATGTCGTTTTCTTGTGTTAAGTGAGAGTTGCTCACTCAGAGCCCTTAAAATATACCTGCCCAAGGCTGCATCTGGAGAGAAAATTGCAATATTTGAAGTTTTTGCGCTATCTCTATTCGTATTATGTCTTCACATTGTGGGTGAAGAAGATGAAGAAATATGCCTGAGGTAGGTAAGGGACTTTATTGATCCTCGGAAGAATCATTTGAGGGCAGGTGTGGCAGGGAAATTGGAAGCAGGATGACGACGGGCCCTCGGGCCACTCTAGATGGCCGCACATTGCTGTGCTTCAGCGACCCTTCTGGCCCAGCTCACTATCCCGAACTTTATTTCCGGTTGCGAGCTGCGAAGAGTGCCTACCATCGCTCCTGGTGGGCGGAAAATTGGGTAAAATAACATAAAATCGAGATAGCTGACGATTCCATCCCTGGCACCTAAAAGCGAAGGCAGGTAGCTGGAGCCTCGTTCCGAGTGCTCGGGCTTTGGTGTCAGCAGCCGTGTTCGGACGAGACCACCCAAACCTAAGCGGCCAGATAGATAGATACCCTTAAAATCACCAAAGTTCGCAAAGAAATGCTGCAAATTTAATACAAAGTACCTATAATTCTGTCTTGGTTGTCCTTGACTTAAAGACTTTTTTTTCTTTTTAATATTTATAACACACAAAAAAGCTCAATTTTACAAGCTTTCTCGAATCGCTGCATCAACTCGAAGAATCGCTATCTCGAATCGCTTTCTCGAATCGCTATCTTTCAACTGCAGGCACCCTGAGTGTGCTGTGACGTCCAAATTTTCTCTTCACATGCTTACAAGATATCGTGACGTCAGCAGCAATGCCCGCTCCACACTTCGAGGCAGGGGCAGTGCTGAAAGGACCCTAGCTTGTGGGCACTAGCGGTTGATACGGCCCCAGGATGTAATCACTTGCTCACCCTCCCCCCCCCCCCCCCCACCTATCCTATCGAAGAAATCCTGGCGGCTCATCTATGGGTTGGCGACACACAAGCGCCCACTTTGAATGTTTTGGTGACGCACAAGCGCCTATTTCAGAAATTTTGTTACCTGACATTTCAATAGCCAGGCTGCCACTTCAAGTCGCTAGTATTGGTACTGTAGTGGCCTAACATCAATCAAGTGTTGATGTCGGTAGGTGCAGCATACGGAAATGAATTTTAATATCAAAATAACATACCTTGTCAGTAGACGTCCGATGCGTTCGAAAACGATGTGGGATAATGAAAGCGCACAGTGTCTTCAAACTGCCTGAGCTTTCACATGACAGTTTTCTATACACAGCTTAGTCTTTAAAATTGTATTGGCTTTCGCCCATGATGTTTTTGTTTTTTTTCCCCGAGACAAAGGTACCATAAGCACGAGAGGACGGGTGCGTTTTAACTCGCTACTTGCTTTCCATAAAAAAAAAATACCTTTGAATTACAAAAAATGGGTCTATCAAAATGTACGAATATGCAAAACATCCCTTTTCCCGAAGCACAGAAAGAAAAAACAATTAGTAGATCGCACGTATCTTCGCAGTCGATGTTATGCGGAACCTTCACATGGAAAGTGACTGTGCTGTAATTTCTTTATTGACTGGAACGTCATGATGTGGAGCTGAAAATGCATGCACAAGTGCATGAACATGAATAGCCTTGGATGAAACGTGCGCCCTCCGTTAATTGACCGCAGCGCTAGCGCCTCTAGCGGCGTAAAGATGATTCATGCTTGTTGCGCTAAAACTGCTATTATTTGATCAAACTTGAGCTTTTTTTTTTCATCAGTCAGAGCTAGGTTCAATTTTATTTAACAGGTCGACGCATATTAGTGGGCCATTAGTGTTTCTTCAAATGGCTCCTTAAAATATACAAGAAGCAAACAGTAATCTTCGACCGTCGTCTGCACCTCACCAGAATGACACAAGACGTCACGATGGGTGCTGACCGAGTGCGACCCGTTGTCTGGCATACTTACCTGGTGTCGGGGTGACCGTGGTCAAGATGGCGGTGCCCCCAGGGAGAGGCGCGGGCATTGCACTGCGCTCGTGCTGACCCCTGCCACTACCCCAAACTGGGGCAGATGGGGCATGCAATTTTTGGTAGTGGGGGACTGCGTTCGCGCTCTCCCCCTATTTTACAATCCAATGGAAGATCTATACACCCGCTGAAACACTTGCGCGGCGGAGGAGAGTGCAAGCTATTTATTGAGATCCGGGTTCTTCGATATGGCTTCCGATATGTCGTTTTCTTGTGTTAAGTGAGAGTTGCTCACTCAGAGCCCTTAAAATATACCTGCCCAAGGCTGCATCTGGAGAGAAAATTGCAATATTTGAAGTTTTTGCGCTATCTCTATTCGTATTATGTCTTCACATTGTGGGTGAAGAAGATGAAGAAATATGCCTGAGGTAGGTAAGGGACTTTATTGATCCTCGGAAGAATCATTTGAGGGCAGGTGTGGCAGGGAAATTGGAAGCAGGATGACGACGGGCCCTCGGGCCACTCTAGATGGCCGCACATTGCTGTGCTTCAGCGACCCTTCTGGCCCAGCTCACTATCCCGAACTTTATTTCCGGTTGCGAGCTGCGAAGAGTGCCTACCATCGCTCCTGGTGGGCGGAAAATTGGGTAAAATAACATAAAATCGAGATAGCTGACGATTCCATCCCTGGCACCTAAAAGCGAAGGCAGGTAGCTGGAGCCTCGTTCCGAGTGCTCGGGCTTTGGTGTCAGCAGCCGTGTTCGGACGAGACCACCCAAACCTAAGCGGCCAGATAGATAGATACCCTTAAAATCACCAAAGTTCGCAAAGAAATGCTGCAAATTTAATACAAAGTACCTATAATTCTGTCTTGGTTGTCCTTGACTTAAAGACTTTTTTTTCTTTTTAATATTTATAACACACAAAAAAGCTCAATTTTACAAGCTTTCTCGAATCGCTGCATCAACTCGAAGAATCGCTATCTCGAATCGCTTTCTCGAATCGCTATCTTTCAACTGCAGGCACCCTGAGTGTGCTGTGACGTCCAAATTTTCTCTTCACATGCTTACAAGATATCGTGACGTCAGCAGCAATGCCCGCTCCACACTTCGAGGCAGGGGCAGTGCTGAAAGGACCCTAGCTTGTGGGCACTAGCGGTTGATACGGCCCCAGGATGTAATCACTTGCTCACCCTCCCCCCCCCCCCCCCCACCTATCCTATCGAAGAAATCCTGGCGGCTCATCTATGGGTTGGCGACACACAAGCGCCCACTTTGAATGTTTTGGTGACGCACAAGCGCCTATTTCAGAAATTTTGTTACCTGACATTTCAATAGCCAGGCTGCCACTTCAAGTCGCTAGTATTGGTACTGTAGTGGCCTAACATCAATCAAGTGTTGATGTCGGTAGGTGCAGCATACGGAAATGAATTTTAATATCAAAATAACATACCTTGTCAGTAGACGTCCGATGCGTTCGAAAACGATGTGGGATAATGAAAGCGCACAGTGTCTTCAAACTGCCTGAGCTTTCACATGACAGTTTTCTATACACAGCTTAGTCTTTAAAATTGTATTGGCTTTCGCCCATGATGTTTTTGTTTTTTTTCCCCGAGACAAAGGTACCATAAGCACGAGAGGACGGGTGCGTTTTAACTCGCTACTTGCTTTCCATAAAAAAAAAATACCTTTGAATTACAAAAAATGGGTCTATCAAAATGTACGAATATGCAAAACATCCCTTTTCCCGAAGCACAGAAAGAAAAAACAATTAGTAGATCGCACGTATCTTCGCAGTCGATGTTATGCGGAACCTTCACATGGAAAGTGACTGTGCTGTAATTTCTTTATTGACTGGAACGTCATGATGTGGAGCTGAAAATGCATGCACAAGTGCATGAACATGAATAGCCTTGGATGAAACGTGCGCCCTCCGTTAATTGACCGCAGCGCTAGCGCCTCTAGCGGCGTAAAGATGATTCATGCTTGTTGCGCTAAAACTGCTATTATTTGATCAAACTTGAGCTTTTTTTTTTCATCAGTCAGAGCTAGGTTCAATTTTATTTAACAGGTCGACGCATATTAGTGGGCCATTAGTGTTTCTTCAAATGGCTCCTTAAAATATACAAGAAGCAAACAGTAATCTTCGACCGTCGTCTGCACCTCACCAGAATGACACAAGACGTCACGATGGGTGCTGACCGAGTGCGACCCGTTGTCTGGCATACTTACCTGGTGTCGGGGTGACCGTGGTCAAGATGGCGGTGCCCCCAGGGAGAGGCGCGGGCATTGCACTGCGCTCGTGCTGACCCCTGCCACTACCCCAAACTGGGGCAGATGGGGCATGCAATTTTTGGTAGTGGGGGACTGCGTTCGCGCTCTCCCCCTATTTTACAATCCAATGGAAGATCTATACACCCGCTGAAACACTTGCGCGGCGGAGGAGAGTGCAAGCTATTTATTGAGATCCGGGTTCTTCGATATGGCTTCCGATATGTCGTTTTCTTGTGTTAAGTGAGAGTTGCTCACTCAGAGCCCTTAAAATATACCTGCCCAAGGCTGCATCTGGAGAGAAAATTGCAATATTTGAAGTTTTTGCGCTATCTCTATTCGTATTATGTCTTCACATTGTGGGTGAAGAAGATGAAGAAATATGCCTGAGGTAGGTAAGGGACTTTATTGATCCTCGGAAGAATCATTTGAGGGCAGGTGTGGCAGGGAAATTGGAAGCAGGATGACGACGGGCCCTCGGGCCACTCTAGATGGCCGCACATTGCTGTGCTTCAGCGACCCTTCTGGCCCAGCTCACTATCCCGAACTTTATTTCCGGTTGCGAGCTGCGAAGAGTGCCTACCATCGCTCCTGGTGGGCGGAAAATTGGGTAAAATAACATAAAATCGAGATAGCTGACGATTCCATCCCTGGCACCTAAAAGCGAAGGCAGGTAGCTGGAGCCTCGTTCCGAGTGCTCGGGCTTTGGTGTCAGCAGCCGTGTTCGGACGAGACCACCCAAACCTAAGCGGCCAGATAGATAGATACCCTTAAAATCACCAAAGTTCGCAAAGAAATGCTGCAAATTTAATACAAAGTACCTATAATTCTGTCTTGGTTGTCCTTGACTTAAAGACTTTTTTTTCTTTTTAATATTTATAACACACAAAAAAGCTCAATTTTACAAGCTTTCTCGAATCGCTGCATCAACTCGAAGAATCGCTATCTCGAATCGCTTTCTCGAATCGCTATCTTTCAACTGCAGGCACCCTGAGTGTGCTGTGACGTCCAAATTTTCTCTTCACATGCTTACAAGATATCGTGACGTCAGCAGCAATGCCCGCTCCACACTTCGAGGCAGGGGCAGTGCTGAAAGGACCCTAGCTTGTGGGCACTAGCGGTTGATACGGCCCCAGGATGTAATCACTTGCTCACCCCCCCCCCCCCCCCCCCCCCACCTATCCTATCGAAGAAATCCTGGCGGCTCATCTATGGGTTGGCGACACACAAGCGCCCACTTTGAATGTTTTGGTGACGCACAAGCGCCTATTTCAGAAATTTTGTTACCTGACATTTCAATAGCCAGGCTGCCACTTCAAGTCGCTAGTATTGGTACTGTAGTGGCCTAACATCAATCAAGTGTTGATGTCGGTAGGTGCAGCATACGGAAATGAATTTTAATATCAAAATAACATACCTTGTCAGTAGACGTCCGATGCGTTCGAAAACGATGTGGGATAATGAAAGCGCACAGTGTCTTCAAACTGCCTGAGCTTTCACATGACAGTTTTCTATACACAGCTTAGTCTTTAAAATTGTATTGGCTTTCGCCCATGATGTTTTTGTTTTTTTTCCCCGAGACAAAGGTACCATAAGCACGAGAGGACGGGTGCGTTTTAACTCGCTACTTGCTTTCCATAAAAAAAAAATACCTTTGAATTACAAAAAATGGGTCTATCAAAATGTACGAATATGCAAAACATCCCTTCCCGAAGCACAGAAAAAAAAAACAATTAGTAGATCGCACGTATCTTCGCAGTCGATGTTATGCGGAACCTTCACATGGAAAGTGACTGTGCTGTAATTTCTTTATTGACTGGAACGTCATGATGTGGAGCTGAAAATGCATGCACAAGTGCATGAACATGAATAGCCTTGGATGAAACGTGCGCCCTCCGTTAATTGACCGCAGCGCTAGCGCCTCTAGCGGCGTAAAGATGATTCATGCTTGTTGCGCTAAAACTGCTATTATTTGATCAAACTTGAGCTTTTTTTTTTCATCAGTCAGAGCTAGGTTCAATTTTATTTAACAGGTCGACGCATATTAGTGGGCCATTAGTGTTTCTTCAAATGGCTCCTTAAAATATACAAGAAGCAAACAGTAATCTTCGACCGTCGTCTGCACCTCACCAGAATGACACAAGACGTCACGATGGGTGCTGACCGAGTGCGACCCGTTGTCTGGCATACTTACCTGGTGTCGGGGTGACCGTGGTCAAGATGGCGGTGCCCCCAGGGAGAGGCGCGGGCATTGCACTGCGCTCGTGCTGACCCCTGCCACTACCCCAAACTGGGGCAGATGGGGCATGCAATTTTTGGTAGTGGGGGACTGCGTTCGCGCTCTCCCCCTATTTTACAATCCAATGGAAGATCTATACACCCGCTGAAACACTTGCGCGGCGGAGGAGAGTGCAAGCTATTTATTGAGATCCGGGTTCTTCGATATGGCTTCCGATATGTCGTTTTCTTGTGTTAAGTGAGAGTTGCTCACTCAGAGCCCTTAAAATATACCTGCCCAAGGCTGCATCTGGAGAGAAAATTGCAATATTTGAAGTTTTTGCGCTATCTCTATTCGTATTATGTCTTCACATTGTGGGTGAAGAAGATGAAGAAATATGCCTGAGGTAGGTAAGGGACTTTATTGATCCTCGGAAGAATCATTTGAGGGCAGGTGTGGCAGGGAAATTGGAAGCAGGATGACGACGGGCCCTCGGGCCACTCTAGATGGCCGCACATTGCTGTGCTTCAGCGACCCTTCTGGCCCAGCTCACTATCCCGAACTTTATTTCCGGTTGCGAGCTGCGAAGAGTGCCTACCATCGCTCCTGGTGGGCGGAAAATTGGGTAAAATAACATAAAATCGAGATAGCTGACGATTCCATCCCTGGCACCTAAAAGCGAAGGCAGGTAGCTGGAGCCTCGTTCCGAGTGCTCGGGCTTTGGTGTCAGCAGCCGTGTTCGGACGAGACCACCCAAACCTAAGCGGCCAGATAGATAGATACCCTTAAAATCACCAAAGTTCGCAAAGAAATGCTGCAAATTTAATACAAAGTACCTATAATTCTGTCTTGGTTGTCCTTGACTTAAAGACTTTTTTTTCTTTTTAATATTTATAACACACAAAAAAGCTCAATTTTACAAGCTTTCTCGAATCGCTGCATCAACTCGAAGAATCGCTATCTCGAATCGCTTTCTCGAATCGCTATCTTTCAACTGCAGGCACCCTGAGTGTGCTGTGACGTCCAAATTTTCTCTTCACATGCTTACAAGATATCGTGACGTCAGCAGCAATGCCCGCTCCACACTTCGAGGCAGGGGCAGTGCTGAAAGGACCCTAGCTTGTGGGCACTAGCGGTTGATACGGCCCCAGGATGTAATCACTTGCTCACCCTCCCCCCCCCCCCCCCCCCCACCTATCCTATCGAAGAAATCCTGGCGGCTCATCTATGGGTTGGCGACACACAAGCGCCCACTTTGAATGTTTTGGTGACGCACAAGCGCCTATTTCAGAAATTTTGTTACCTGACATTTCAATAGCCAGGCTGCCACTTCAAGTCGCTAGTATTGGTACTGTAGTGGCCTAACATCAATCAAGTGTTGATGTCGGTAGGTGCAGCATACGGAAATGAATTTTAATATCAAAATAACATACCTTGTCAGTAGACGTCCGATGCGTTCGAAAACGATGTGGGATAATGAAAGCGCACAGTGTCTTCAAACTGCCTGAGCTTTCACATGACAGTTTTCTATACACAGCTTAGTCTTTAAAATTGTATTGGCTTTCGCCCATGATGTTTTTGTTTTTTTTCCCCGAGACAAAGGTACCATAAGCACGAGAGGACGGGTGCGTTTTAACTCGCTACTTGCTTTCCATAAAAAAAAAATACCTTTGAATTACAAAAAATGGGTCTATCAAAATGTACGAATATGCAAAACATCCCTTCCCGAAGCACAGAAAGAAAAAACAATTAGTAGATCGCACGTATCTTCGCAGTCGATGTTATGCGGAACCTTCACATGGAAAGTGACTGTGCTGTAATTTCTTTATTGACTGGAACGTCATGATGTGGAGCTGAAAATGCATGCACAAGTGCATGAACATGAATAGCCTTGGATGAAACGTGCGCCCTCCGTTAATTGACCGCAGCGCTAGCGCCTCTAGCGGCGTAAAGATGATTCATGCTTGTTGCGCTAAAACTGCTATTATTTGATCAAACTTGAGCTTTTTTTTTTCATCAGTCAGAGCTAGGTTCAATTTTATTTAACAGGTCGACGCATATTAGTGGGCCATTAGTGTTTCTTCAAATGGCTCCTTAAAATATACAAGAAGCAAACAGTAATCTTCGACCGTCGTCTGCACCTCACCAGAATGACACAAGACGTCACGATGGGTGCTGACCGAGTGCGACCCGTTGTCTGGCATACTTACCTGGTGTCGGGGTGACCGTGGTCAAGATGGCGGTGCCCCCAGGGAGAGGCGCGGGCATTGCACTGCGCTCGTGCTGACCCCTGCCACTACCCCAAACTGGGGCAGATGGGGCATGCAATTTTTGGTAGTGGGGGACTGCGTTCGCGCTCTCCCCCTATTTTACAATCCAATGGAAGATCTATACACCCGCTGAAACACTTGCGCGGCGGAGGAGAGTGCAAGCTATTTATTGAGATCCGGGTTCTTCGATATGGCTTCCGATATGTCGTTTTCTTGTGTTAAGTGAGAGTTGCTCACTCAGAGCCCTTAAAATATACCTGCCCAAGGCTGCATCTGGAGAGAAAATTGCAATATTTGAAGTTTTTGCGCTATCTCTATTCGTATTATGTCTTCACATTGTGGGTGAAGAAGATGAAGAAATATGCCTGAGGTAGGTAAGGGACTTTATTGATCCTCGGAAGAATCATTTGAGGGCAGGTGTGGCAGGGAAATTGGAAGCAGGATGACGACGGGCCCTCGGGCCACTCTAGATGGCCGCACATTGCTGTGCTTCAGCGACCCTTCTGGCCCAGCTCACTATCCCGAACTTTATTTCCGGTTGCGAGCTGCGAAGAGTGCCTACCATCGCTCCTGGTGGGCGGAAAATTGGGTAAAATAACATAAAATCGAGATAGCTGACGATTCCATCCCTGGCACCTAAAAGCGAAGGCAGGTAGCTGGAGCCTCGTTCCGAGTGCTCGGGCTTTGGTGTCAGCAGCCGTGTTCGGACGAGACCACCCAAACCTAAGCGGCCAGATAGATAGATACCCTTAAAATCACCAAAGTTCGCAAAGAAATGCTGCAAATTTAATACAAAGTACCTATAATTCTGTCTTGGTTGTCCTTGACTTAAAGACTTTTTTTTCTTTTTAATATTTATAACACACAAAAAAGCTCAATTTTACAAGCTTTCTCGAATCGCTGCATCAACTCGAAGAATCGCTATCTCGAATCGCTTTCTCGAATCGCTATCTTTCAACTGCAGGCACCCTGAGTGTGCTGTGACGTCCAAATTTTCTCTTCACATGCTTACAAGATATCGTGACGTCAGCAGCAATGCCCGCTCCACACTTCGAGGCAGGGGCAGTGCTGAAAGGACCCTAGCTTGTGGGCACTAGCGGTTGATACGGCCCCAGGATGTAATCACTTGCTCACCCCCCCCCCCCCCCCCCCCCCACCTATCCTATCGAAGAAATCCTGGCGGCTCATCTATGGGTTGGCGACACACAAGCGCCCACTTTGAATGTTTTGGTGACGCACAAGCGCCTATTTCAGAAATTTTGTTACCTGACATTTCAATAGCCAGGCTGCCACTTCAAGTCGCTAGTATTGGTACTGTAGGTGCGTTTTAACTCGCTACTTGCTTTCCATAAAAAAAAAATACCTTTGAATTACAAAAAATGGGTCTATCAAAATGTACGAATATGCAAAACATCCCTTTCCCGAAGCACAGAAAGAAAAAACAATTAGTAGATCGCACGTATCTTCGCAGTCGATGTTATGCGGAACCTTCACATGGAAAGTGACTGTGCTGTAATTTCTTTATTGACTGGAACGTCATGATGTGGAGCTGAAAATGCATGCACAAGTGCATGAACATGAATAGCCTTGGATGAAACGTGCGCCCTCCGTTAATTGACCGCAGCGCTAGCGCCTCTAGCGGCGTAAAGATGATTCATGCTTGTTGCGCTAAAACTGCTATTATTTGATCAAACTTGAGCTTTTTTTTTTCATCAGTCAGAGCTAGGTTCAATTTTATTTAACAGGTCGACGCATATTAGTGGGCCATTAGTGTTTCTTCAAATGGCTCCTTAAAATATACAAGAAGCAAACAGTAATCTTCGACCGTCGTCTGCACCTCACCAGAATGACACAAGACGTCACGATGGGTGCTGACCGAGTGCGACCCGTTGTCTGGCATACTTACCTGGTGTCGGGGTGACCGTGGTCAAGATGGCGGTGCCCCCAGGGAGAGGCGCGGGCATTGCACTGCGCTCGTGCTGACCCCTGCCACTACCCCAAACTGGGGCAGATGGGGCATGCAATTTTTGGTAGTGGGGGACTGCGTTCGCGCTCTCCCCCTATTTTACAATCCAATGGAAGATCTATACACCCGCTGAAACACTTGCGCGGCGGAGGAGAGTGCAAGCTATTTATTGAGATCCGGGTTCTTCGATATGGCTTCCGATATGTCGTTTTCTTGTGTTAAGTGAGAGTTGCTCACTCAGAGCCCTTAAAATATACCTGCCCAAGGCTGCATCTGGAGAGAAAATTGCAATATTTGAAGTTTTTGCGCTATCTCTATTCGTATTATGTCTTCACATTGTGGGTGAAGAAGATGAAGAAATATGCCTGAGGTAGGTAAGGGACTTTATTGATCCTCGGAAGAATCATTTGAGGGCAGGTGTGGCAGGGAAATTGGAAGCAGGATGACGACGGGCCCTCGGGCCACTCTAGATGGCCGCACATTGCTGTGCTTCAGCGACCCTTCTGGCCCAGCTCACTATCCCGAACTTTATTTCCGGTTGCGAGCTGCGAAGAGTGCCTACCATCGCTCCTGGTGGGCGGAAAATTGGGTAAAATAACATAAAATCGAGATAGCTGACGATTCCATCCCTGGCACCTAAAAGCGAAGGCAGGTAGCTGGAGCCTCGTTCCGAGTGCTCGGGCTTTGGTGTCAGCAGCCGTGTTCGGACGAGACCACCCAAACCTAAGCGGCCAGATAGATAGATACCCTTAAAATCACCAAAGTTCGCAAAGAAATGCTGCAAATTTAATACAAAGTACCTATAATTCTGTCTTGGTTGTCCTTGACTTAAAGACTTTTTTTTCTTTTTAATATTTATAACACACAAAAAAGCTCAATTTTACAAGCTTTCTCGAATCGCTGCATCAACTCGAAGAATCGCTATCTCGAATCGCTTTCTCGAATCGCTATCTTTCAACTGCAGGCACCCTGAGTGTGCTGTGACGTCCAAATTTTCTCTTCACATGCTTACAAGATATCGTGACGTCAGCAGCAATGCCCGCTCCACACTTCGAGGCAGGGGCAGTGCTGAAAGGACCCTAGCTTGTGGGCACTAGCGGTTGATACGGCCCCAGGATGTAATCACTTGCTCACCCTCCCCCCCCCCCCCCCCACCTATCCTATCGAAGAAATCCTGGCGGCTCATCTATGGGTTGGCGACACACAAGCGCCCACTTTGAATGTTTTGGTGACGCACAAGCGCCTATTTCAGAAATTTTGTTACCTGACATTTCAATAGCCAGGCTGCCACTTCAAGTCGCTAGTATTGGTACTGTAGTGGCCTAACATCAATCAAGTGTTGATGTCGGTAGGTGCAGCATACGGAAATGAATTTTAATATCAAAATAACATACCTTGTCAGTAGACGTCCGATGCGTTCGAAAACGATGTGGGATAATGAAAGCGCACAGTGTCTTCAAACTGCCTGAGCTTTCACATGACAGTTTTCTATACACAGCTTAGTCTTTAAAATTGTATTGGCTTTCGCCCATGATGTTTTTGTTTTTTTTCCCCGAGACAAAGGTACCATAAGCACGAGAGGACGGGTGCGTTTTAACTCGCTACTTGCTTTCCATAAAAAAAAAATACCTTTGAATTACAAAAAATGGGTCTATCAAAATGTACGAATATGCAAAACATCCCTTCCCGAAGCACAGAAAAAAAAAACAATTAGTAGATCGCACGTATCTTCGCAGTCGATGTTATGCGGAACCTTCACATGGAAAGTGACTGTGCTGTAATTTCTTTATTGACTGGAACGTCATGATGTGGAGCTGAAAATGCATGCACAAGTGCATGAACATGAATAGCCTTGGATGAAACGTGCGCCCTCCGTTAATTGACCGCAGCGCTAGCGCCTCTAGCGGCGTAAAGATGATTCATGCTTGTTGCGCTAAAACTGCTATTATTTGATCAAACTTGAGCTTTTTTTTTTCATCAGTCAGAGCTAGGTTCAATTTTATTTAACAGGTCGACGCATATTAGTGGGCCATTAGTGTTTCTTCAAATGGCTCCTTAAAATATACAAGAAGCAAACAGTAATCTTCGACCGTCGTCTGCACCTCACCAGAATGACACAAGACGTCACGATGGGTGCTGACCGAGTGCGACCCGTTGTCTGGCATACTTACCTGGTGTCGGGGTGACCGTGGTCAAGATGGCGGTGCCCCCAGGGAGAGGCGCGGGCATTGCACTGCGCTCGTGCTGACCCCTGCCACTACCCCAAACTGGGGCAGATGGGGCATGCAATTTTTGGTAGTGGGGGACTGCGTTCGCGCTCTCCCCCTATTTTACAATCCAATGGAAGATC